AAATGATCCAATTTATCGAAAAGAGTAAGTAAATAGTAAGTTTCTCTGTGTGGTCTTCAGTTTCGTAGTCCAACAGTGGGGCACAACTGATAAAATATCTATGGTGTAACTAATTTAATCTGCTCCGCGCTTTCTTCGTTAACGTGTTTTGGATCCGCTTCTCTAATAAGGCTCCAAATGCTCTGATTCATTCAATTCCCCTGCTCAGATCTCGCATCTCGGTCAGCATGTGACCACTCGACTGGTGCAGGCCGCATCATCATGTCACGGCAATCAAGCTCATCTGGTTTCGTCACTTGTTCTTAGTGATGTGTCACTCCTGCAAGCAAGTGTAGAAACCATACTGCCACGCGCTTCTCCCACTGAAATACCGGGACACATGCGCCCGATGGATAAACGTGCAACGGCTTGGGAAATGCGCCTTCGTCCATTGTTCCGCGTTATTGTAGGCTTAACTAAACCGAGTCGTATCAATCGAGTGGATACTGATTCGACGACGAGATCAACTAACCCGGCTACGTTGAATCCGCCCATCGTTCAAACGATTCTGCTACCTCTTTTGGAAACGCTTGAAACGTTAGCTGCCCATGGTCCTGCTACTCAGAGTCTCGGTACTTCCGTGTTCAGTACGCATCATGTACCGCGGGAAACACCCACACCGAATCACTCGTTGATGGAACAAGCTAAAGTGATGCAACTCGGTGCCAAAGGGGAGACAAGACCTCCAAGACATCCGATTACAAGTGGTTTGTCGACCATAGTTGGAAGCCGTGGAATCCCTCCTGTAAATTTCAACGCGTGGTTGAATGAGTACCCTCATGCATTGTATTCTGTAAGTGAAATTTAATATTTCCTTGATTCAGGAATATTATCATGCATGCGGCATTCTGAATACACAAAATCGCATGAATGTTTTTTAGAGATGTTCATACCATGATTTCTTTTTTCACAGTTTGAACTTCGATAGATATAGATACAGATAGATAGATATTGGTTAAAAATATGCCTGATCGCAGGTGTTTTGGAACTCCATCTCCAAATTCAGTCCGTACACTTATTTGATTTACATGCTGTCCATCTCCGACTTCATGAAAACAAATTTCCGTCGCTACACACATCGCCCCTCAGGAATTGAGTCACATGGCCAAGTTCTCTTGACTGCAAACCCAGGCAACACAGAACATGACAAAAACACGCACACACACAAATTGGTCTATTTCATTGGATTCGCCGTTTGCCTCCCAGCATTCTTGGTTACAATTGTAACGGCATAGTTATGGATCATTGAAAACGTTTGATCGTTCAGAATTGTGTTTTATCTTTTTGTATTCTAATCATGTGGTAATTTCGTGTTAGGCTGGTGCCCATGTATACAAGCTACCTATTTTCTGTCTGTTACGTAAACACGCAGGCCTGGAGTGATCGTCTGTCCAATCGGTCGCACTCAACCGTTGTTGGAACAGACGTCGCGGTCGGCGGTGCAAACCAGAACAATCAAGAACAACAATCCGCTGAGTACACAGGATTCGCTAACAGTCGACAAAAAGCACTAGCGAATCGCTTCGCATCGCGCTGGCGTGCTGTTGTCAGCGAGCTTCGTTGGGCTAGAAAATGGGGTATTGCACTCAGTAAGTCCGATTCCACTTAGATCACTCACTCTCACTTGTTAACCCCATAGAATATAGTTACTTTTCTAATTCTATTTGTACCGTATCCGCTTTATACCGGGCATTTCACGTTTTTTGTTGTTGTGATTTTTAGATCAACCCCTCACTCATTGTCCTTCTCCTAATGATCCGATTCCTTCGGATAATTGGCTAACAACAGTCCTATTCGACCCTCCGGATGCAACTGCACGTGCGGTCCACGTGTGTATGAACCTATTGAAAACGCTCAGCACATGCCCTAACCGGGCACGGAGACAAAGTAAATCTTCCACTTCTGCACCGACTCACAAGTCTCGTCATTCCGCATTGTTCAACCTTTGTATGAGACGTCGTCGATTAATACTTCGCTACCTCACCGAAACTTGTTTACCCCGATTGAATGAACTGGCCTCGGCTCGGGGCTCAGCAGTAATGGCCGATCCGTACGGTTCCTATTCTCCATTGCCCTCGAATGCAGCTCTACTTAATGCGGGCAACGCGTTCATCTTCAAATTCCGCCAATTGATTGGATCCCCCGACTCACCTGGCTCTGGTTGTCCCTCTTCCGTTGAAAACACAGAATCCGGACCCGCTCCACTTGTGTCCTATTTGTTAGTCAAGGTCAACTTTTTGAGTAAGTTTCAACTTGTATCTGGAATGTTGGTTGATATTTTGATCCATCGTTGAGGTTCCGAATTTCTCACTAAGCATTTGTGCCATCTCTCTCTCTGTATATTCTCGTCGTTATTATTTTCACAATCGATATTTAAATGTCACTTGTTCACTGAGTTTCTATATCCTTGGGAGACACTGATTACTAATTCCTGATTTAAGTGATGGTCGAATAGTTACTGTGTTCTATCACCTTATGTTTAATAATATTGTTTTACATGCATGCCTTAGTGGGACTTCTAAATTCATTCCACCTGACACAGTTCAACTATTTGATGTATGGGGTCCAGCGAGGAAAGAGTGGATTGACTGCCTTTTCTATAGTCCGGTTTCAATTGTTCCGCACGCCAAATTTCATTTAGTTGCTATCATCTCGACTGAATTACTCAAAGCATACAATTGTGTTACTGCATTCGTTGCATCGTATTCTCTATGACGGAGTAAGGATTCGCGACTAAAGATTGCTTAAAGACTGTCTCATTTCCTGAACTGTTCTATTCATTCTTCATGAAGAGTAGTTCTGATCAAGGTCGTCGCCACGAGCTACTCAGTTGTCCTTTGTTCGAATACCACCAGCACCACCACTACTACCACTTATGTTTTTGCGTTTCCCACCACAGCCTGTGAATCACCGCTGCCCCATTCCCTGAAACGATCAATGTGATTATGTGCTCCGTATGCATGCATTCTGCCCATGACGTCCCGGGTTTGATCCCCAGTCGGGTCGATGGATTCGCACTGCTGATAAGACCCAACCAGGTCGGAATAGCTGCCCAGTGCTTCCTAGCTTTTCAGTTCACACACTTCATTTGCTATATACACGACGAATTCCCATTTGAAATTTAATCAAATCCTCCATTACTCACATGAAATGAAGTAAAAAGCATCCAAACATTCACCATCTACAATTATTTTTCATTTTCCCTGCCTCTGCGGATTATCGTCATACGTCCTTCCATTCCATTGTTTCGAAGGTCACGTCGCGCGACTAGTCGAACGTTTATTGGTTCAAATGCAGCGTCTGGAATCAACAACCCTTCGACATTGGAATGAGCTTGTGGCAGCCACCATGGGTCCTGTGAGCGGTACGGGTGCTCTGAATGGAAGTACACCAAGTCATACCATTGCTCTTGTTGCCGAATTGCTTCGCATCCTGGAGCCCCTAGTAAGCTCAAACCTATTCGTTTGTTGTAAATTTCTGTTGCTCATCTTACTCTTGATCCATCTAAACTGCGAAAGTTACTCCCGGATCCTGTTGCGTCATGACGAATTTGATATATTATGATACCTGAGTGATGAACTGGGATGGGCTGGTTCTCATAGCCACGAATATCTGCTGTTCAGTGATGGAAACCTGAGCTCCGGTACTCGGAGTGGCAAACCACATAGGGCCCCATTTGGTCAAGCAATAGCAAAGCTGCTTTCCCCTTAATTTGATGGCGTTGGCGGGGCTTCAACCTCGAACCATAGGAGACAAAACACGCCAGCCAGTCAACCACCACGCGGAACGCTTGTGTCCCCTAGCCGTTAAATACCGAAGCTAGCCACAGTCACGGTAGTGAATCCCTGTGTATGCGTAAATGTTTATCTTCGCGACACCTAATCTGTGCATCAGGTTTGGCCTTGCCGATGGCTGATCCTGTGGTTTTCAGTATGCATATGACTGTTGTATGTGAATCATCCTGATCAATGTTTTTGCAGCCGCCTATGGATATCAATTCCTATCATGCGATCTTTGTGTAACCAAGGGGATAATATACCGCTTATTGAAATTGGTGATCTTCCTCGTGCCTCCTCCAATATGTTGGCCTCATTCGCCAATGGCATTAACCCAAGAATTACAATTTCTCGCCTCGTTTGGTTGGTTGAACCTACACCTGTTGTTCAAGACTCATTCGATACCTTATCGAATATCGGTCGGCTCATATTTCAAACTCTTCTGGGCATCTCGTTTTAAAGCCCACAGTTCAGCTCGTTTGCCCTCCTAAAATAATACATAGGACTATAATATGATTACTCTTCGGTGTATGGTGAAGAACTAATGGTCCATAGTATAATTTTTTTGTGTGTTCGGTTTTATTCGTTTCCTTTCATTTTAACACGGGCATTGCTTGGAAATGATGTGAAATGATTTTAGCTCGGGATGCGGACGTTGATGTTGTTGAGTGTTCTAGCTTGAAGCGTTGTTCGTGGACGTTTCTTAGCCAAGCTAGGCAACGTCATCAGTGCATTGCTGATGTTGTCTAGCTTGGCTAGGAAACGTCCACGAACAAGGCTTCCAACTCGGAGAACTCACAGACATCAATGTGCATTCATGT